TTTTGTCTGCTTCCTGACCCACGAGATTCCGCCATCTGTTTTTGATAATTGGATCTGGATTTTTGGTTTTCAATGACAGTCTGTACCCCAATTTGACTGAGTAGTCGTGGATCGGGACTTTTGTCTTGAAGTTGCTGGTAGAATTTGGTTTCTAGGCCCACTCTGCTGGGTCGAACTCCAAGGATCGAATTGCTGTGTCCGGTCTGAAAATTGCCTTTGGCCATGTACCTAGGACCCTTACTTTTCTGAGAAGGAAGGAATCCAGTATCGACGTTTCCACATTGTTGTTGAAAATAGCCAGCATGTCCGTATTAGAGAAGGTGACCGGGAAGGAATGAAAGATGACTCTAGTGTGAGAGCCTTGCTGTATGTGAGAGAATTGATAGGCTCTAGTAGGGGGTGTGCACAGGAAGAATTCATTTTGCAATATTTGTAAAACATTATTGCAACAGTATCAACGACTTCAAAGTTCATACCCACCTTTATTGCTTCTCCACTTTTAGCACCAAAAGCTTCAACCAGAGGTGACAGTTCGAATAGCAGTAACGCGTCATGGACAAGGCTAGCATGATCAAGCAGTGGTAGCAACTGCAGCCATAACACTTGGGCACCTGGCCACTGCAACAGCTGTGGAGGGAATGTATAGCGAGCGGCCTTCATTTCTCCTGCAAGCTGGGGCTGAACTCCTGCAATCAATGTGCTAGGCCCTCCTGATCTGTACACATTTTTCTTAAACAATGCCACTTGGGATTCCAGCAGCTGCAAAATCCCAGAAAAAATAAGACAGTACCCAGCTGGCCACGTCAGAATTTGAATCCCTGTGTCCACAGATTCCAGTCCTTGGGACACTTGCTGAATCACAGTCCAAAACCATGCTGCAGGAACTATGCATGTCCAATACATCCATCCTGCAGTCTTTTGAAGAAATACAACATACTTGCGCCGCACTGCCCTGGTGCGCTATGCGGCCTGGTGCGGTGCGCGCTGCGCGAACATGGGTGATATGCGGGCTCAGAGAGCCTCAAGGACACAACAAACTGACACTGAGGGTGTCCCTCCACTACTCAGCACATGCACACAAGACAAAATATGGCAGTGTATCTTTCCATGTTCTAGCGGAAGATTCGTTCTCATTTCGCACATTTGTAGTGGAGCGAGGACAGAAGCGACTATTCATCCCTGTGCAGTCATGATGATAGCGGGTGGTGTACCTTCTTTTTTCTTTCGTTTTTGTTTTCTCTGACGACAATGAAGACAACAGCCTCATTCGAGACAGAGAGCACCCTCATCATGACTGCATCAGACCTGCGAAATAGCCCATATAGGGTTAGTCATTTTTTTTTCTTTTTCTTTTGTCTTGTACTGCCTACTACGGTGCCGCCAACGGAAAGGCAATCCAATTTCTCTTTCGGCCCTAGGCCGAGCGGGGAAGAAAAAAAATGCCCAAAGCCATGTCTATTTTCTTTGGTGCATGGGCAACAAATCCTACTATCCCCCGCCCCCTTTTTTTTTGGGGGGGGGGGGACCCCTATTTTTCATGGTGTGGCACAAGCTGTGCGCGCGCCGTGTGCGCATGCACCATGCGGCGTGTGTGCGCGACCAACGCGCACGTGATGCACCGCAAGTATGATATACCATCATTCCTGCTTAGTCACTACCCTGGACCTATCGAGTATTTTAAATACCCGCTGAACAGCTCAGTCTATTGGCAACACAGCAAGCAAATAATGAAGCATCTCATGCGACCAGAGAGGAAATGAGAGAGCATCTCACCTGTCGAATCTCCATTGCCTCAGCAATTGTAACGCCCTCGCCCCTCTGCTGAAGTGAGTTTTGGGCTTCCAGACGTGGGAATTCTGCAGCCAGTGGCATCTCCTTTTGCCCCACCCATCTGAGCATGCACAGTCCTGATCAGCACACATGTCAAGCACAAGACATGAAGAAGTTGTGGAGTCCCACATGTTAAGAACAGTATTCAGGAAAAAAACACAATGTTCCCATGTGACACATTACCCCCAACCACTGGCCTCAAGATTTTGCTGTGATGCCTTGCTCACCAGCAACAGTGATAGCATCATTTATCTTTGACAAAAGGAAGAAAGTTCATAGGCAACATTAATCCAACACAACACCTGAGTGAACAGGATGATCCGAGCCAAAGATGTCTTTCTCAAAACGATACATTTTGACAGTTTTCCGCCATACTCATGGTGAAGTATAATTCAAGGAATTTTCCTCGTGCAGAGACCATCATCTTTTGCTCAGGAGAAACCCAGAGAGGACTAACTACACAATCATTAAGAACTTAGCATCCTCCGAACAAGGAAACCAAGGATTACACCCACAGCAGGCCTAGGGTGTCAAGGTAGCCTGTGTGTAGCACTGTCTACAAGTGCTGTTAGCAAATTGAGATCCTTCCGCTCAGAACGGAAGGATTCTTGCCTGTTGCAGAAGAAAACCCAAAAAGAACTAAAGATATGTAAGGAAACTCCAAAAGCCTCATCACATCACCCAGGAGGGTGAGTCATGCCACTCATCCATAACACGTTCTGAGTTGCCTGCAGCATATGGAGCACAAGTGAAACAAGAATGAACAATGCAATGTAAGTTTATGTAACCCGTTTGGAATGAAAATGATGTATTTCCCACCTTGTGTTGCAAGACGGCGTATTTCTTCATTGACGGCAACAGCTGACTGGCCTGAGAAATCACTCCCTGCAGCAATGGAGTGAAACACAAACGCAGGGATACCTTTGGTTAAAACCGTTCATGACGGTGACATCAACTACCCATGCATGCATGTCACAATAATGTCACAGGCAATCACACATGCATACATGTTAAACATCAAATGGGGACAGGAGGGAACAATGAATCAGCAGGGTCATGCCTCAACTTCACAGCTAGTGGGGTGCTGCTTCTGCAGGGGTTCTATGCTCCTCCCCATTATCTTGCCTAGATTTCAACAACGCAGAACAAAACCAAATCAGTACCTAGGCTGCACTGTGGGCCGCCCGGCGCCCGGCTCGTCGCCCGGGTGGGGGGCCGGGCCGCCTGGCCGGTCGTCCCGCCCGGTTGGCCACCGGGCGACCCCAGCGCATCATAGAGGGGGGGGGGGTTCTTCGCGG